TATATATATATATATATATATTAGTAACAAGAGGAGTGATAACAACACAATATTATTGGAAATTGAATGTTGTTGAACTCAAACATTCCCAAATAATACAAGATCCACCATAGAATTCAAACTAATACTACAATGAGATTGCTAGGTTTGAGACTATTAACAAATTGAAGGTAGATTTAAATATGAATAAGGCATCATCTAAAAGAGTGTATCTAAAAATTTTAAGTTACCAACAATTTCTGAGACCACTATATTTACATTAGACAATTTTATATGTACATTGTAATTTTATGAAATGAATGGAACAAAGATTTACAAGAATTGATATGATCAATGGTATTGTAATTTACAATCCATAAATTTGAATTCTTAGTCACATGGTAATGAAAAATACATTGAATACCTTCATTAATAATTGTAGAAAATCGTGAAAAAAAATTTTTGTCCTTCAAAATCAATTGATTGATACTCAAATCTCCTAGTGCTCCCGAGTCTTAATTAGTGGCCTTTGGACATGCTTCAAAAGGCCTAGTAAGGCTTTGTACTCCTTTGGAGTAAAATTGGGAATAGTCAATGACTTTTCTGTTGGTGTCTCATCCTTTAACAAGACTAAACTTCACTCATTATCCAAAAGAAAAAGATTAAACTTCACCAGTGACATTAATGGTTGAGTTTCATTTTTTATACTTTGAACTAGGAAGAAAACCATGTTCCCAGTAACAAGTTTCAATCGTGTGTCCTAGCTTTCTACAATAGGTTCACATCTTACTGTTGTAATTGGATTTTCCTTTGCCATCGAATTTCTTTCCATCCATTGCATTCATCATAGTTGAAAAATGTTCGATTATTATTAAACCATATTGTCCTTCATGTTGTATTACCGTTAAAAACACCCTATTCGACTTAAACATAAATTAACAATACATAATGAAATAACACTACTTACCAAGATAAAAGTTGATTTGACCCAATAAATTTACACTAATACTATGTATTCATTAAGAAACAGATTAATTAACTAAATACACTCTAATTTGACATTATTTATTATAACTTCTAATTTTTAATTAACTGATCAACAATTAAATTTAATAATATTAAATATATTCTTTATCAAAATTTACCTCCAAAGAATAAATATATTCGAGTAATGTAATAGACTTTTTTATTATTATTATTACTCCAACCCCACCACTTAAATATAACATTTCCGTCTCACTTCACCTATCCCTCTAAAATTAGTCACCATTTTAATCTAAATTCTAAAAATATACAAATATCTATAGTTAAACTATTCATTCTGTTCTATACTTACCTCCATTTTAAATTTCAATACTGTATTATAAAAATTGAATTTTAGTTCTTAAATAATTTTTAATTGTAACTTATTACAGTCAGATTTTTTTTTAATATAAATTTTGTGACTAGAGAATTTTGTCTTGTGTTAACGGCAGAGCCAAAACTGCTTAACATGTTTAAGGTTTAGGGTTTTTTAAAATAAATATTATATTTAAATATATAAAATATATTTTATTTATTGATAATTTATTTTAAAATATTAATACTTAATTTATAAAATAATTATGATAATTAAAAATTAAATTAGATAAAAAATTCATATAAATTCTCTCATCAAAGAAAAATATGTAAAAATAACAACATATCGAAGATTATACACATCAAATAAATAATTTAATAAAACAATTTTTCATTTTTTAACAAATTTTTAATATGAGTCATAATTAATTTTAATTTAAATATATTTTTAGTCTCTTAAATTTAAGATAAATTTATTTTTGATCTCTCAAATTTAAAATTAATATTTTTAGCCCTTGTAACTTTAAAAAATCTTATTTTAATTCTTATATTCAAATTTTGTTAAAAAATTTATTAAATATTATTATATAAAATTTACTTATTAATGTCTTTATTTGTAAAAATATCACATTAAACTCGATTAATATTATATAATCATCTTAACTTATTACTTTTTAATATATTACTAGTAATTTAAGAGATTAAAATAATAATTTTAAAAATTATAAAGATTAAAAATAATAATTTTAAATTAAAAAAATAAAAATAAATTTATCTTAAATTTAAGAGATAAATATATTTAAATTATTAATTTTAAATGGGAGGATATGAAATAAATGAGGGTTAGGAAGTGTAGAAGTTTGATTTTGAGGAGACATAATTTATTTTTTCATTTCGACAATTTGACACCTTATCTGTCTAACGGTGTGAGTGTGACGATGACGATGGCGATGACGGCGTCTCAGCTGCGGTGGGGGTGGAGGCCGCCGCCCAAGCAGCAACGGCGTCGTGTGCTTCCGGTAGTCTGTTCCATCGCCATAGAGAACGCGCAGAACAAAGAGAGAGCGAAACTCAAGAAACTCTTCGAAGAAGCCTACGAGAGGTGCCGCACTGCTCCCACCGAAGGCGTCTCCTTCAGCCTCCAACAATTCACCGACGCTCTCGACAAGTACGACTTCAACGCTGAAATTGGCACCAAGGCACGTTCATCTTTTCAATTCAACTTCTCTGTGGATTCTGGATGACGCTGTTTTCTGTTTACCTAGTTTGCTTATGATACGCATCAATTGTTGATTGATTCTGTATGAAGAAAAAAACAAGAGAGGAGGTTCCAGGTTTTGCATTGTGGTTGCGGTTTAGTTACAGTTACAATCTTTGATATTGCAGAGGATTGTGAACAAATGCAATTCACGAGGTGCATTGCGGTCTCGTTGGGATCCTTGATAGTGTAGAAAATTGTGGATAAATGCAGCTGATATGGTGCAAGTGGTTAAGACCCTAAAAAACTTATTGCGCTTGAGAACTGTTGTTTTAGAACCTTGAGAGGCTTGTAGTTGTAGTTTACGCTGTAGCTAGGTCTTGTTTGAATAAATTTCTCCATAAGCATATAGGAGCTGTTTGGATAAGCTTCTTCGTAAGCTGATAAGCGGAGAAAATAGGAAGTAAAATGAATTGAGCTTCTGCCATAAGCTAAAATTAACTTGTGCATTTCAGCTAGTAGAGTCTAAACAAGAGAGCTTCCATAAAAGTTAAATGCATAAGTTGATTTAAGCTTACAAGATAAACTCAATTTTTTTTTTTTACCTTATTATTTTTTTTCCTATAAGTGCTTATGGAAAATTTATAATAATAAAATTTATTTGGATAAAATTGGGCCTGGTACATTTTAAGTTTACCCTTGTGTTTTGGGGTTTTTGGAATGGATTGCTGATGGTTGCTGGTTGTGTTTCAGGTTAAGGGCACTGTTTTTGCCACAGATGCCAGTGGAGCTTATGTGGACATTACTGCAAAGTCAACAGCTTACTTGCCTCTGCAAGAGGCTTGCATCCACAGAATTAAGAATGTGGAAGAAGCAGGTATAGTTCCTGGCTTGAGAGAGGAATTTGTGATCATTGGTGAGAATGAAGCGGATGATAGCTTGATCTTGAGTTTGAGATCTATCCAGTATGACCTTGCATGGGAACGCTGTAGACAACTTCAAACTGAAGATGCTGTTGTCAAGGGTAAGGTGGGTTTTGTGAATCGAGAAACTTAATTCTGTTTAGATTTGGCATATTTGTGTCGATTTCAAATTCTAATAGTTATGACATCAGTTTTTGGTAATCTCTATCAAGCGAAGATTACAAGGTGAAGCATAAGAAAAATTGATATTATTACCTTTGTGAGTGGTTTATTTGATCCTTTGATTAAATTAACTGGTTATGCACTTGGTGTGGCAGGTTGTTAATGCAAACAGAGGAGGTCTAGTGGCTCAAGTGGAATGCCTTAAGGGGTTTGTTCCATTTTCACAGATATCAGCGGTTAGCTCTTGACCTACTTTGACATTTATGGACTTGCATGCATCAGATTCAAACTTGCCATGCGGCAGGAGCTCAACTTATTGTCATTAGGAAAAGTATAAGGGTTTTTTTAGGGAACAAGAATCAGATAAGGGCGATCAAATCTCAAAACATTCATGCAATTACGGGAATAAACAAGTCAAGCCAAGCTAAACACTTAAAAAGCTCAAACTTGGCTTGCATAAAAAATATGGTCCTCATGCTTGGCTCAAATTTAAAACTTGATCTTTGTTTGTTGGAAAAATATGAAGTTTGACCTTGACTTGTTTTAGCTCATTTATAATTCAATTATTTTTTTATTCATCAAATATTTTCTTGAAATAATTCTTAAGTTTATTAGTTTATTATGTAATGATAATTTTTTAATACACGACTGCAATTTATATATCTTTTCTTTATAAAATTAACATTTTATATCATATATATATATATATATATATATATATATATATATATATATCTTAGAATGTGGGTTTGAGTTGAATTTAACTCTATAAAATTAACTTGTAAGAAGAGGATTGTCTCCTACTTATATACCATTTGTTAGCTTTATCTCTAGTTAATGTGGGTGTTGGATTTTTCCCAATAGTCTCTAGCATGTATTCATGCCAAAAACTTGTAAATGTCAATCTTCCACTAACTTATCAATATGAAATTGAGTCATTCAATTTTAACTAACAATACTTATATGCCTCAACAAGTTCATGTAGATTTTTATGGGTAAATAGAAAGTTTCTTTTCATATTCATTCATCTGTCCCATTTTAAAAATTACAATTTCAGCTGCCAACTCAAACTCTCTCCCTTTTGCGTTTTTTCTTCTTAGAAATCTACCGGAGAAGAGCTTCTAGAGAAGGAGATTCCTTTTAAGTTTGTGGAGGTGGATCAGGAACAGTCTAGACTTGTCCTCAGTCACCGCAAAGCTGTGGCTGAGAACCAAGGACAGCTAGGAATTGGATCAGTAGTCACTGGCTCTGTTCAAAGCATAAAGCCATATGGTGCCTTCATTGACATTGGTGGAATCAGTGGCCTCCTTCATGTCAGTCAGATCAGTCATGACCGTATAACTGATATTGCAACTGTTCTTCAACCTGGTGATATTCTGAAGGTAAACCTATGATAAGCTACGTGGGTATTTGCTTGGAATCACAAGTGTTAAGCGGACAGAAAATCTCATTATTCATTATTTGGTTAGGTGATGATCTTAAGTCATGACCGGGAGAGAGGACGAGTAAGTCTTTCCACTAAGAAGTTGGAACCCACACCTGGGGACATGATTCGCAATCCAAAGCTTGTCTTTGAGAAGGTATAATTCAACCAAAAGGATATCAAGCCTTTTGCCCGCTACTTATCTGAATTACGATTGTAGCACAAAAGAGGCTTTATTTGGTATATCAAGCCTTTTTCATTAGGATTATCGTATTTGAAAGAGAATTTACACTTACAATTCTTAATATGTTTTTATAGGCAGAGGAGATGGCTCAGACATTCAGACAGAGAATCGCCCAAGCAGAAGCAATGGCTCGTGCTGATATGCTTAGGTTCCAGCCAGAGGTATTTATTTGTTAATTATTTGTTCAAAATTTCATCTCAATGAAAATGAAGAAGCAACAAGGGATTAAAGGGGACTAAAATACAAATAGCGTAAAAACAAGTCACTTCTGGGTTCTTGCTGCTGCACGTGAAAAGTATCACATATTCTGAAATGACAAAATTTAAATGATTTTGATGGATCTTTTTTAATGGATAACATACAAAAAAAAATTAAGCATTTCCGTTCTGATGATCTTAGTTGGGAGACAAGTAGTTTTGATATTTTGGACTCCTTAGTCCTGGCTGAGTCACTCCTTTTACTGACTCGAGATATCAATTTGAATAATTCTTGCTTCAATTATTGACAGTTTCATATTTGGGTTGGATTGGATATATTTCTTTGATCACCTTATAGCATTCATGCATACTGAGACATTATTTATTCTCATTTGATGAACCTATTTTACTCCTATACTTCTGTTTACAGAGTGGATTAACTCTCAGCAGTGACGGGATATTAGGACCACTTACTTCAGACTTGCCTCCAGAGGGACTGGATCTGAGTGAGGTACCCCCAGCAGAAGATATGATTGAGAATTGAGACCTCTTTTCCTCCCCTCCCTTTATCTTTTTTTCTTTATTTTCTTTTTTACACATTGCTCTCAATATTGCTGTAGAACAGAAAGATGAACCTAATGTAGCGGTTCTTCTCAGCAACTCATTATTGTAGTAAAGGCAATTGTATAACACTTCATTTTCTGTCAAAATTATTAGGAGAGGCTAAAGATTGACAATCGTAGAATCAGTTCAAAAAACCAGATTCACATATTTATGTCTCTGATAGCTATCATTGTCATAAGGCATAACTGTTAGCAACCTACTGTGTTACAGAAATTAGCTAATATCACATTGCCATCTTCATTCTGAAATTATCATCCGAGCAAGAGGCAACAGTGTGAATACTTTGAAAGCCACTGGAATAACGACAATGAAAAGATGGACACAAGGCAGCCACGTACATATGGCAAAACCAGAAACTTGCACTTCATTGTAATTCTTACTCCATCTGGTCCTTTTCATAAGAAATAAATGATAGTGCCATCTGGTCCTTTTCATAAGAAATAAAATATATTTATTTCTTATGAAAAGGACTTGAATAGTATTACATTTCCTGGCATTATTGGAGCGAGCCGGGCGCACTAACTTGTTGAAATCAGGCCTCGTTGAATCGACAGCGTACACACGTTGATACATACTAGGTTTAATTATATATTTTAGTAATGACAGTTTGAATTATTTTGTAATTTTAATCTTTTAAGATTCTTTAAGTCAAATAAGTTTCCATATTTTTAAAATTAAGTAAATTTGGTCCTGTTAATTTTCTAATACTTTAAATTTTTAATTTTTTTGTTCAAATATTTGGGGGTTAATAGATTTAAGTATAAAATAATTCAAAGAAATTTAGAAGTCAGAAATTTAGTAAGAAATTGATTAAAAAAATTAAATTTTTTTTAGTTTGGATAAAATTTGATATTATGGTTAATAAATTTTGAATGGAAGAGCTTAGAATGGTCTAACCGATTCCTTATGTAACGATAGAGTAGAAAATGATCATTTGATGGTTTTATGTAGAAGAAAATTGAAAGGGACAATAAATTTTGCATAATTTTAAACAGAGAAACTTGAAAGCTAAAATAAAAACTTGAAAGCCTAAAATTACATAGTTCAAACTAAAGATTAAAAGTGTAAATAAATTTGTATATTAATATGGTTAAAGTATTTTTTTAATCCTTATAATTTTACTCACTTATCTTTTAACCCTTATAATTTAAAATATTTTTTTTAGTTCATATGCTTATCTTTTTCAATACTTTTTAATTCCTATATTTTTAGATCTTTCTAATTTTTATAGTTGCAACTTTTAAATTCTTTTAGTTCTTATTGTTAATATTTTTTTTGTAACATTGTTTTATGTTGATGTAATAGTGATTTTCAATTTTGAGACCAAGAAAAATGTGTTTCACCAATAGACATCACATGTGTGGATATAAAAGAGGCATGAAACATTGAAAGGCCTAATTTAAAATAATTCACCCAAAATAAATTTGACATATAAAATTGAATTAATATATCTATCACATGACTACTAAAAAGACAACGTTAAAAAAATTAATAAAAATGACTAAAAGAATTAAAAAATTACAAATATAAAAACTAAAAATTTTATCTTAAACTATAAGAATTAAAAAAGATTAAAAAAAATAAGTATATAAATTAAAATTATCTATTATAAACTATAAAAATTAAAATAAAAAAATAAGTGAAATTATAAAAAGTATTTTAACCAATTAATATTAATGCAATATATACTTTTTTTTTCTTCTGCAATTAGCGTAATTAGGACATTTAGCTAGTTTGATATGCAGTTTTAAAAAACATATGAAGAGAATAATATTTAGTTTATACAAATTTTAACAAACAATTACGGTAACAAATAATTTTAATCTAACAGTTAGATTAATACAAATAGTAATTTATATTAAGTTATTAAATGAAGTGAATATATATTACTTATTACACTTGTACGAAATGATTCATACGCTAAACGTATACATGTGAACACGCACATCAAATAATTTTGTTTGAATTCTTTCTTACATACTGTTGTTAGATCATAAATATAAAATATATATTAATCTATATTTATTTACATACTACACATTCCCTAATACACCTTATTATTGATTAAAATCTATCAAAAACTACAAAATCATCAAAGCTCATTAAATAAAAAGCAAGACTTCTACAATTGTGATTTTTTAAAAAAAAAACCCAACCAATAATAGGGTACAATTTTTATAAGATTTGATTATAAATTTTTAGATAAACAAATTACGCATGCACATTAATGTGTTGGGATTGCACAAGATTTGCTTGACTAACAACGCAATATTTCTAGATATTAAGATAAGAGTCATTCACAAGTTCTTACGAAATGTAAAGACGTAGAAAGACAGCATGCGACTAGAGATGGGAGAGGTTGGATGAAGTGGTGCCACTGTAATAATTGACCCGTTGGTTTCATATACTTTGACTAAAACAAAAAATCTTGTGACCTAGTCTTTCACACTAAAGAGCAGAAAACCAAAAAGGATAGTATAAAATTTCCGTGCAATAAGTTAATACGCACTTAGCCAGCAGATTTACTGATGAAAACTTCTATCTACTGTTGGAACATAGAAGGATATACAACATACAAATTTCTCAACTCTAGCTAAAATAAGAAAAAGAAAATAACTTTTCTATACCTGAGTAAATCCTATGGCAGGGACATGCAGTTTTAATCCAAGGGCTTATTAATAGAGAACAAACAATAGAATTTGAGTTGCATCGAACCGGGACATAGGATTAAAGCTTGTATGAGGTGAAGTTAGTTTCCAAACTGTAGAGGATGGATCCATGGGTTGGTTAACTCTGTTGTTTGCTGCTCTTTTTGCCTTTCTTTTGCTTTTGCTTCAATTGAGTAAGGCCAGCTGCTGATATTTTCACATTACCAATAATTGCAGCAACTAGTTCAGGATCTGTACAGGCTTTCATCAACTCCTTCTCCCGGCTTGTTGCTTCTGACATGTGGCTGAATAAGTTCATCGCAGTTTTTGCAGCTAAACAATAAATGGAAAAGAAAAAAAAATTATGGGAACATCTTGAAATAAGATATCAATAATTCATGCATCTAATGTTGCATAATCATAAGCTAAAGCATATATTGCCAAGGGAAGAGAGAGAGAGAGAGAGAGAGAGAGAGAATCCTAGACTCCTGGCAAGTTATCAATTATGGTTAAAACTAGTTTTCTAATATTTCCTTCAACCAGGCACTAGTCTAAGATAATAGTCATCAATAAAAAATGAAATTAAGGAGAAAACAGGTAAAATTAAAGAATAAAAATAGAACCTTTCCCTTTCTTTGCTGGTCCAGGAATTATCTTCACCCGATATTTGTAAGACTGAACTGCATTGTAAGGACCACAGACAGGAACAGCATATAAGAGAATGTCATTAGGAAGTGGATTCCCTGTCAAGTAATCAACGTCATTTAGTTTTTCTTTCTCCTCTTCTCCTATTTCATGAATATCATCTTCTTCCATTGCCACCCTGTCTGCTTGGGAAGTGTCAATAGCAGTCATTTTGGAATTTTCTTCAGCTTCACCAGTTGCATGCCTATGCAACAGATCATCTTGTTGCTCCTTACAATCCCGAGATAAGTGACCTGCTTTCTTACACTTGTAACATATTTTTGGAGCATCAGAAGGACCTGCCACAATGAACATTAACATTATAATTATAATACAATAAACAAGATAACAAATGAAACAGCTGCAATAATTGGCATGTAATATGTTGTGTCTAATTTACAGCAAAGTTCAGATCTCGGTAGTCAGGTAATAGATACAAGGTAGTGTGACACATTGAATTACAGAACATGCCCACCACCACTGAGCAATGAACCAAGAAGGGTCACTACCCAACCCTCTGGGGGATGTTTGGTAATGGGATTCTTTTAAGTTTATTAGGAATGTTAGGTTACGAATGTTAAAAGTCCTATGCTTGGAACGATAATTTTAAAAATCAGTGTCATGAATCAAACATTTTCAGGAATCTAAAATTCCCAGGGATAATTTTTAATGAAGTTTTCCCCACCAAAACTTTGTCATGAGAAGGGGTCATGAAGGGAGAATTAAATTTTTTTTTTAATTATCTAATTTGCAGGAATATTTTAGACATACCAAACATTTGGCATTTCCAAGAAACATGATTCCCAACAAATTTAATTCCCAGAAACATGATTCACAAGGACGAAAAAATATTCCATAAACCAAATGCTTAAGTGGCCCAAAGATAGAGAGCCTATAGTACATGAACCAAATAGTGAAACCTGGTAAAGAATTTCCTAGATGTTTTCCTCATGACACATCTTGTTTGGTTCATAAACTTAGTTGATCAAGTCATAAAATGAATTAAATAAAAACGTATCATACAAACTACTATATAGTACCATGCCCAAACTTATTTAATGTAATATGCACGTTCATGAACCTATTAGTGAAATGCATGATCCAGCATTCCAGCTCAACTCAAATTGGCACATATATCTAAATGAATCAAGCTAAGTCAATCATAACAGTTACAATTTCTATTTGAGGCAAGATCAATCCAAACGAATTGGTACACATAAATTCAAGCTGAACTTTTCAGGCAATCCAATTGTAATCAAAATCAAACTGAGACCAAGCTTGGTGCAGCTCAATTTTGGCAACACTGATGATGAAACTATAGAAAGGCTTACCACTGCTAGGTTTTTCCCCCTTCTCCAAAGCTTCATTTTCAGATGACACTTCTTCCTTCTTGATTGATTTTCCAGAAGACTACAAATACCACCAAAAAAATCATATTTAGAGCAAAATCATGGTGGAACCAGGGAAATAAAAAAATTCAGGAATTACAAGGGAGGCAGTATATGTTCTTGAAAATACCCATTATGTGATCTTGTGTACTTTCTCCTACTCTGATTATTCGAAATATTTTTTAGGGAATGATTATAGCATTAATTAAATTTAACATCTGAGACTCATCTTAGCAGCCCTGTAATATGTATCCTAGATAATGGGTTTAGGGTTTAGGGAACATAATGCATGTATTGTGCATAAGGCAAAAACATATCTATTACTCATGTGTATAGATCATAGACATGAAAGTACATGTAAGCTACTGAACTCACAGCCAACAATGCCATTCGGATGTTCCTTTCTTCCTCATCCTGGTCAGCATACTTCTCCTTTATCTTCTTAAGTTTGCCCTTCTGTCCACGACTGGTTTTTTGACCACCAGCTTTTTTCAAATTTTGATCTTCTTTTGCAGGTATGTTAGCAGAAATATCTTTTAGTTTTGATTCATTCTTTCCATGTTGAACATTTGAATCTGCTTCTCCATGTTTCTGTTCTTTTTTAAGTTTTCGTCTCTCAGCTTTTGATATATAAGGTTTTTCCCTTACTGCAGCTTTGCTTTGATCAAAATGTTGCTCACTGCCTAAATCAATTTGAGAGTTCTCATTTCCATAACTTTTACTGGATTTAGCAACAGATCCAAGTTCCAGAGCTTGATCAATAAGTTCCTCAAGTTGGGTGACAGACGCTATGCCATTTTCACCAATGTCTGATAATATCTCCCTATCAACCATCTTTGACTTACTTGTCTCTTTTGCAGGAAAATCCTGTGAAATTGCAGTTTCGGCATTTATAGTAGCCAAACTAGTTTGAGATGAGTCTGCAGGAAAGTCTTCTGATAGGGGTTTGTGTGAATCTGCCAATAAATTACCGTTCCTTTCTGATTCTGTAGCAGATTTTACATCAGCAACATCCTTCTCAGACTCTGAATCAGATTTGTCTTCAAGAGGGCCAGTTTCGTCATAGTCATCTTCTGCTGCTTCCTCCTCTCCTCTTACTCTTCTTTCATTTAAATGTGAACCCAAGGAACTCTCATCCAAGCGAAATAGTAGGCCAAAACCCATGATAAGAGGGTGTGGTGGAAGAAAATTTTTCTTTCCCCGGATCATGAAACTCCCTACTGTCAGATATTCACCTGTCGGAGCAGTTTTACTAACCTGATGAGGATAGACCCACCAGGCACTAGTAACAATTTTTGAATCCCATGCCTGGCTATGGCAGACCTACATTGCAAAATGATGTGGAAGTGGTAATGGTTAACATTAGATTTTGGTCATGACAAAAACTTAAATTTAGATCACATAGTAAGGGCTGTTAAACACATACTGTGAAACACCCTGCTTGATTCAGGGTCAGCGGTGGAACTGGTTGCACAGGCTTGTGATTCTTGATAACTGTACTAGAAGCTCCATGTAGATCGGCATGTACATACCTATTATAGAAACAAATCAACAAAATGAGAATCACTGAATCAAAAATCAAATCATACTTCAAAACAGAAAAAAGTTTGCACATTTAAAGTAGAGTATAATCATGTTTATTTCTAAATTCTGATTAGTTATTACAGATGTTCCAAGTGCTTTACATTGCTGCTGAGAATGTGCATTAGTTCATTATTAGAAATGACCTAGTATAAATAATTTGAATTATTGAGTTGCAGTGACCATGACCAACAAGATATCATAAATACTGGTAGTATCGAGTGACATGAAGAAAACATGTTACATGTCTAATCAAGGAATAAGTGGCCTCCTAAGACAAGGGGAACAGACAGAGCTGATGTTACTGGTGCAAATGAAGAAAACCAGTATATTTTATGGCCCAAAAGTGGAAGCATCTTCCAGAGTGAAGCAGGCATACAAATATTTCGCACAAGATATGTTATGATTGTTATAATTTCACCATTGAAAACTTTTGTACAATTCTTTCTTTTTATTAGAAGAAGATAAATTTTGTATGAGTATACAGCATGTTTGGATTAAATATAAAGTTCTTTTTACAAAGATATACTAGTTAACATATTCTTCAAATGATCTAGAGGCATGTAAACAGTTAAGTGTCAATCATTTCCAAGAAGATAGCATCTGAACCAAATTAATATTATTTTAACCATTACTAAGCATTTTTCATCAACATTTAAGCTTTTGCACAGAAATACTCACAGATCTCCTTTTGACATATAACGCTTCACTATCAGCTCATTTTGCTGTGCATCACGTCCACTGATAACCAAATAATTCTCACTGCTAATGAACCAATTAAATTTCTCAAACCAGTGAACTTTGCGCATATGTGAAATTGAGGCAACAGTTTTTTCCTGGAAATAAATTTGACAAAAAAGGAGAAATTTACATACAATTTTAGTAGTTATATAAAGCAATCAAGAATGGAAAAGTCAGACCAAGCTTGCATATCAATGTTTTATATTTATACATTCAGCACTGAAAAATCTATTCATAGTTTCTTATTGGGAGAGAAGATGTAAAGGTTAAGGTAAGAATGACGAGGCATTCTCCAAAGATAACAAGAAATGATCAAAGAAAGAAACCTCAAACCCTAGAGAATATAACCTTTGGCCAAATATCACAAAGAAGGCAAAATGACAATTATATCCCATAGCCATAGCACAAGTCAACTTTCATTAAAATTTAAGAATAGTCACAAGTATTATAAAAATAATATAGCTTCATTATATCATAGAAAGTAAAAAGTGTGGAAGCAGATAATAAGAAATTCTCCTAGGAAAACAAAAGAAAAATATACAGGGTAAAATAATGCCACAGGCAGTGAAGTATGAGAGAATGTCCAAGTATTATGATCTGGTAATGGCATATTTCTAAACATAAGCACAAATACAAACTTTTATGTCCTACCAGTACCACAAATGGAAACCCGATCAAGTAACCAATTTACAATGCACATGCTATATGACTAATATAAGATGGTAATGATCCAATAAACTTCTTAGAATTTGAAATGAGACAAACTGCAAAACTAATTATGTTCCTTACCATAATCAGACCGCTTATTTTCTTTTTCCAAGTTTTTTCTTCAATTTATTTATTCGAGAACAATCCAATAACTAATTTGCTATATAGACTAAAGTTGAAAAAATACAATTTCTGGCCACCTGACTAAGCTGTAGGCGAGTCTTTCTCTCTGCAGCTTTAAAAGCCTTTTCATGGGCAGTTACAGTCTTTTCCTGTTTGCTCTCCTGCTTTTTCTTCTGTTCATACCACCTCCGAGCATTGGCATGTGCTGAGAGAGCTAAATCAACTTCAACCTTGATCATAAACATAGTATGGTTACTAATGTTAAACATTCAAGGGGAAAAGGAAAAGCATTAAAAACCCACATTTAAAGAAAATATGAAGAAAATCAGTGATGATAGAGAGAATGGCAAGATAAAAAGTTAATGAAAAATCCATAATACTGACTTATTGACATAGACCAACCTATAATAAGGATATAATGTGATTATCAATGGCATGTTTCTCCAAATTTTTTGTTTTCTTCTCATGTTATGTTGGGTTGAAAATCATATAACAGTGGCAGACAGTTTAAGAAACCCCCAAAACTATACACAAGTCTTCTTATGCACAACAACTTAGATGTCTTAAAGAATTTGTTGGCTGAATAAATCAGTCTGAAGAAAATATTTTAAGTATCATAACAGAAGGCCAAAAGGAGAGTTTTAAATATAACAAGATAATTTTTGTAGTAATCACAGCCTATGCTACATTTAGGTGCATTTTGTTGGAGCATGACTCTCCTACTTTTAAGGAGGTTTTTACATTATATGAAGGATTGGGTAGCTTTTCTCCATTCATTTTATTTTTTCTTGGTTGTTCACTATTCTGTTTTTTATTTCTTTTTTAAAAAGGATTGACTATCCTCCCTTCTCTTTGTAATTTTTTCTGTCATGGTGAATTTATTCTTTTATCCAATAAATAAATAAAAACCTTATCTACAGGGAGTGTCTTCTCATCATCATCCATTTCATCAAGATTGTTGCTTAACAGTAAAGTCATGCAGTTCCTATCAAGATGGAGTTTGTCAATGAGACCAGCTACTGGGTTTCCAGCTTTCTTTTCTTCCTTCACCATCCGAGCAAGGTCATCCCAGTTCATACCCTTTGCAAGAGCTACGCGGACAGCTAATATAGCAGCATCCACATCTTCCAAGTTGTATTCTATCAATTCTGCCATCTTAACACAGTGATCAGCTTCTTTCCTCAAAGCATGTACTCGATTTTCCTACACAGCAGAAATGATATAAATTGTGATGAGTCGGATGTTCTAAATATTTACTTTAAGTTATATTTGTTTCCTATGTTACTACATTAAATCATAAATAATTGTTTTATTTTATAGATTGCAGAGTACTCAAAACAAAATCTGGTTAAAATTCAGCCCTCTAATGAATCTGAAATAGAATAAGGAACTTAAAGCGTGTTTAGTTCAAATAAGCATGTTTTGTTTTCACTTCCTATCATGTTATAATGAAAAGAGTAGATTACACTAACACCCCCTGAGGTTTTGTGAAATTACACTGACAACCCGTTTTTTTAAAATTTGCAGTAATCTCCCTAATAGGGAGAGGTTACACTGTAATATTTTCAAATAATTAAAGGGGTTAATGTAATGTCTAAGAAGTGTTAGTGTAATGTTTTTCAAACAATTAAGAGGGTTATTGTACAGGGTAGAAAAAGTAGAGTATTTGTACAATTTCATGAAATTTTAGGTGTGTATCAGTGTATTTTACTCTAATGAAAATAAGAAATGAAAACATTTTATGAAACCAAAGTTACCAAACAGACCCTTAATTTCCAGTCCTTCGTATCAAGAGAATTGTAATTGAGTAGCATAACCCAAACCTCTACATTTAACAAAATGGAGGGGATAGATATAATCTAGGAAGCTTGAATACAACAGGAAAACGATATGGCACAAACATGAAAATATGGAAAAAATTTAAAATTATAGGGTGTGACACTGCTATAACATAATATATATAAAATTAATCTAAACATTTAAAATTAAGATCTCGAGAGAATTCATGTTTTAAAAATGAGCACAAGTCAATAGAAACATAATAAAATACAAATATTTATCTAAATTTTGTGGCATTCTAATCAATATTGGTACAAAAGTTTAAAAAATATAAAAAAGCAATTAAAGTAATTCTAATACAGTATCCAACATGAATATGTATCTGACATGGTTAAGACACAGCCACTATTAGAAGTGTCCATGCTTATTAGGATATAATGTGAGCTTCAGGAGATACAACTATTAAGATTCTCTAGAGTGTAATAAGATGTCTCTAGCAGTAACATATAACAACAACAACAACAATGATAATAATATTAATAATAATAATACATATTCAGATAGAAAGATTTAATTGAGTCATACTGCTGCCTGCCTAAACCCTAACCATCATATTCTGGTACAAGTGATTTTGAATAGAAAAGAGAAAAGAAAAAAACTTATAGTTTGCTACAAAGAAAATATAAACAAATTGGGTGCCCAAATCATGAGCATAAATTCTCCTTCAAATTAATGCCAAACTTAAACAAGCTCTTTGTTGTTTCATTGCAACAGAAACTAAATCCCACACATTTGAAAGTTACAAATTAGACCATAGCAACCTTAAGATGATTCTAAGATGAGTAAGTTTAAAAATGAAAGGTGCCTAATTTGAAATAAGCAGAGAAGTACTTCGTCATATTATGAAATAAGAATGTGATGTTATTGGATGGGGCATTCAGTGTGACAGCATATAAAATGGTGACATGTAAATGAATAATATTAATAATATAACCAAAAATCACCAAAGTATGATCCAGAACGAGATATTTCAGAAACAATATAGTGCGCCATGTGGTTCAGCTGACTTTCTAGTCATCCAAGTGTTTAGTTTGGGCAAGGGCACCAACCTGATCCTGGCGAATCTTATTAAGTTTCTGAGCAGCTGAGTTTTCTTTGGCTTTCTGCTGTTGTTCAGACCTTTGACTCTCGATTTTGCTATAGAACTCATCCAAGGCTGCATCAAATGTCTCAAACTTTGTATAATCCCTTGACTTAAACTGGTTGAGCAGGATGGGGCAGAACTCATCATACATCTGTATCAAAAGATACAGACATGTAAACACTAAATTCCACAGAACCATCTGAGTGAACATCTTTATTTTTTCCCCAGTTTCTGCTCCACATTTTTGAAACCACTAAAATTAAAGAGAAATAGAAAATAACCTGGCTAACACTTCCTGATTGAGATATGGAAGATTCCTTCCCCAAATTTTTGTTCTGCATCAAAATGTATCCTTCAGGGACTGTTTCACCTGAAATAATATCCTGCATCCAATCTTCAAACTTTGCAACAGCTTGGACCAAGGCCTGAACAGTTGCATCATCCCACGTTCTATCTTTGGGGACTTTTGTACTGGGGATTAGGCCAGCATCTAATATTATATGTTCAGAAAGAGCAGGTCCATAACCAAGTGCCTCCCCAAGGACAATTTTCAATGTGGCTGACTTCCCACCTTTCTGGTTTCCCTGCTTCTCTTTACCTACATATGAAGCATTACTTCCATTTCCATTGGCCTTAACAGCCTCCTCGTTATCATCTTCCTTCGAAGACACTAGGGCTGTCTGCAACTTTTCAATAGTAGTTTGCTCAAAAACTCGACAACTTTCCACAGGATAACGATGGCGTGACATGATTGCAAGCCCTTTATCATCATCCCTGTTGTTAACAAATTGCAACCATTCCCCTACTCAGAGACATTTTAAAAATCCCAATAGATAAATTAAATAAGCAGATAAACATGCCCTAAAAACACTTAAAAAGTGCAAGCAAATGCATTCTGAAAGTAAATTAAAAGAATGCTAATTAATCAGTCCCATTTTCAAAAGCAAGGTCAGGCATAACATTCAAAAAAACATGCCAAACCAATTAGCTTGACTGGGCAGTGGGTATGACACAAAAATCCTCAACTCCAAAAATCAACGAGAGACTCTTGATTCTCCACAAGTATACTCATTCTCCCCCTTAACAACTTTTTCTTTTATCCAAAATTAAAACATGATTATAAGCTAGTGAAAATATATGCTCTAAAAGCATGCAAGTGAGCTCATATTTTATACCAGAGGGTAGATACAGGCAAGACATTTAAACTAGAGAGCAGACGGGGAATCGTAAGCACCTGTGAGATCGCAGTAGAGTCATGACTGTGAAACTAGAATCTGTGAGGAGGATGTTCCCCTGAGCATACAGCTCCAATATAACATAGTTTGCATTCTCCCCAAGTCCAAATTGGAAGAGAATAATCTGCCACATTTTTCATTAAAAAAATGACATTTTTTCAGAAAATATTCTTATTTCTTTTGGGAAATAACTAAAGGAAAGAGGGGTTATGCTATACCCGATCGTACCCAAGTTGGCGCACATCCTCGAGCCTTCTGGTCCGAATGTGCTTCCTCAATTTGAGAGTGAAACCCGAAGGGGTGTTGCTCTTGTCACGCATGTAGATAGTAGAGTGCAATCTAACGCCACTTTCCATGAGCAGCAGAACCTTCTCGCTCTCGCCGGATTCCGAAACGCCACTGCTGTTCATCAGCTTGAACACATACGTCTGCAAAAGAAGAAGAAAGTGAATTGAATTGAATTAAGGAAAGTGAAAAGAATGAAAAAAAAAAAAAAGGTACCTTTGGAGAGAGATCGTAGACGTTGGAGCATCGCATTCCGATTAGGCGTCGGAGGCATTTGACCTCGGCGGCCACATCGGCGGTGTTCATGCGCACCTTCACCATCTTCTCCTCCGATTAGGGTTAATGATTGAGATTTGATTAATTTATAGAGAAACGTAGTATTAGGGTTTTGGTTTGGAGAGAGAGAGGAATGATGAATTTGGGAGGAAGAGAGGTTTGGCTCCGTCGGGAGGGAGGAGAGGGAAAGACAATTAAGTGTAAGCTTTTAGTTTTATTTTAGCCCTTCTTTTTTCTTTTAACACCAAAAACTCTATTAAAATAAATAAATATATATATTTTTTGTATTAAAACTATTTATTTCTACTTCAGTTCATTTACTTTATATGGTCAACTTTTACTAACTTATAATGACAAAGCCGTTAAATGCTATGTTCGAAAATGCTTCACAAAATGTCATATAGAAAAAAAAAAGCTTGGACAAAAAGTTTCTTTCTTATGGATAGAAAAAAAGTTTGTAAATAGTATATTTAGGGACATACATTGTTATTAATAATATTTTTAAAGGAAGAGTAAAACACTCTCAAAAAAACTAAAAATTATTGACTCAAATGATTTGATATTTATGTTTTATAAATAAATATTTTAGTTTGATTCTTATATTAAACTTAGAATAGTAATTGAAGGTATTACTTTATTTTTATAGAAACTGATCTCCTTATCAAATAAAAAAATACCCTAAATGTATTGTAGAGATAATATACTTAACATTAACTTCATTCGAATTTGTTTTCATATTGCACTTAATGAAAAAAGTTATCACAAATCTTTTGTGAAGAGTTTTGCAACTAAGAGTTACTATATTGTGAATGTTATGCATTTTATTTCAACTACAAAATCATTGTTTCAAAGATTAAGAAATAATGGGTGGGAGCTACTACTTAAAATGTCACTTTTTTTTTTTTTTTTGCTAACAATGTTATTGAAGTTCCTATTTGAATACTCAATAAGTGATGACACTTTTATAATTATGGAGCATAATTTTATATATAACATATTTATAGCTATAATTTTAGAGAATAAGATGATCTTTATTTTTGTACATCGATCAAAATTACCTTAGAGGATTATAAAGAGAGAGATGATTAGAAGAAATTTTAATCATTGTAATAATTACAAAATAAATATAAAGATAAGATAGAGAGAAAATAAATTAGAATCAAATCATATCTAAATAATTTGATCTTGATCTTAATTAACTAAATATTCTTTAATTAAATATAAGTTAGATCTTAATTACCTAAATTTAAATTTAAATAAAATTAAATTAAGTTGTCGACACCCCAAATTGGTACACAAATGTTCAACAAGCCTAATTTGTTGACAGAATTTCAAATTAAGACTAAACAATCCTTTTGTAAAAAAGTATGTCACTTATTATGAAGTAGAAACAAACATGCAAATTTGATTTGCATCCACTTTCTTTTGATATATTTGTCAACTTTTACATTTTGATTCAATCACGTTGAATTGCATTATGAAAAATACTAATTGTAGGCTTGTTTTCAAAGTACAACCTCATGGCAAAAGCCATAAAAAATTGTAACTCTTCTAAAACTCTTTAAATCCATAAGATTCTACAAACTCTTAATGTCATTGTCCTATATTTAATATCTACACTAGTGGCTACAACATTTTATTCTTTTACTTCTCTAAGAACTAAATTTCTTCAAACAAATGTATAATAGTCACATCTTGACTTTCAAATAGTAATGGATCTAGTTCAATATGCAATTGTGAACAATTCAACTTCTTATTGCCTAATTTTCTTAAAAAATAGTCATCTTTCCGAAGCACTTTTTGAATACCTAAAAATCTTATATATTGTCTCAAGGTGTTTTACATGTGATAAGTGCATGAATTGACTCACCAAATTTATTGCAAAGGCCATGTCTGACAAGGTATGAGATAAATAAACCAATCTTCTCACAAATCTTTAATACTTAGCTATATCTATCGGATTTCCTTTGATACTCAACTATCCTACAAACCACCATCCCAATATCTTTAAGAAGATTTATAATATATTATGTTGGAGGTCAACACATATAAATTAGAATTGTCCAATTCTAATTTATACATCCCATGATAGAATTTAATGTAAATAGGATCAACTTTGATTTCTTATTTACCCCTTATTTAGGTACACATTTATAGGAAGAATTTTGTCTGAATGTTAGGACTAGATTAACTTTTATTCCATTATATTCTCTTTACCTTTTTTGCACCTTTTTTCAAACAAGAGAAATATACAACATATCTCTACATACTATTATTAAGACACAACAATTTCTTTCTTTGATCTTGCTACCTCCTTCCCCATAAAAACATTTTAAGGATTTGAAGGCTTTAATTTCAAACTCAATTATAAAAGAAGCTTTCAACTTATTTTTCATTGAAATCATCTCCAGTAATCACAATGTCATCCATATAAACAATTAAAACAACCATTTTTCCTAGAAAAATATTTTACAAACATTGTATGGTTACTTTGATATTTAACATATCTTTTCTTCTTAACCAATTGGGAAAATCTATCAATGTAAATTTATTCCTCTAAATACTCATTTTAAAAGGCATTATTAATATCTAACTATTGCAACAACCAATATAAATTTGCAACTAATGATAAAAAACTTTGATGGTATTTAACTTTGTAACGATAACAATGACTATTGAGTAATCATTATCATAAGTTTGAGTAAATTTTTTAGCAACTTATTTAAATTTATATCTCTCAATAGATCAATCTAGCTTATACTTGATGGTAAATACTAGGACTGTCAAACTAGGTTAATCCAACCCGTTTGCCTTAACTCACCTCAATCCATTTTCTAAGTGAGTTGGCTCAATCTAACCCACCTGATGAAATGTTTAAACTTTTCAGTCTGACTCGACTCATCAAAAGTTGATGGACTAAACAAGTTGGTCTACCAACTCACCTATTTTTTTTTTTAAACTTCAATTTAAAATAAAACCTTAATCCAAAATAAATAAATAAATTTGTCAAATTAAGTATCATGTATATGACATTAAATTTTGTTAAAAAAGCATATAATTTTAAATAATGAAAATAAAAAAGATAAAAAAATTCTTGTTATTAGAATGGTTGTCCATCAATGTTAAACTTCATTGGAAGTTTGAACAAATAAATCTATAGCAATTTCATATTGTTTAACATCAATTTTATTTTTACCTACAAAAAAATAATACTTTATTAAAATAATACAAATATAACAACAAATGGTTTAGTGGGTCGTTAGTGAGTTAGGCCGATGGGGGTGTAAGTAAGTTATGTGGACAATCTGACTCACCACAAGTTTAGTTCAGGTGAGTCATGTCAAAAGTGGGTTGGGTTGAGTTTTATGACCCATTATGAATTTCTTTATTTTTTTTGGCTGGCTCGTCCGTTTTCAAGGTAAGTCGGGTTGACTCATGAGTTGTAACCCACTTTGACAGCTCTAATAAATACTTAACAATTGTCCTTTAGATAGGTCCATTTTTCAAGTTTTGATTCTTCTCTAGGAATTTCATCTCATATGGAATAATTCCCTTCCACTTTAGAACCTTAAAATAGTCTATAAATCTTTTGGAATTTTTATTTGTATTTGTAGTGAAGTAAAAACCTAAAATAAAGGAGATAAGTTTTCATATGACATAAATTTGAGATAAGCTGATTTGTGCATGATATAATCCCCTTTATAATAGCAAATAAGAAGGTTAGAATCATTAGTGATAAATTCAATTATAGTTCAAACAAGTTCAACCTAATTAGATTTTTTTTTACTCAATGAGTCTTTAGATTCATGTTAGTCTTGAGGAACATTTGGTTCTATTATGATTTTTTTTTTTAATTTTAGGGGTCGATAAGATCAAAGATTTTATACTATGTTACTCATTGTAGTTGTCTCATTTTATTCAATTTCAAAAATTTTAGAACCTGACACAATTTGAAATTTCAGTTTCTAAAAAAGGTTTTAAAACTAAATCAAGGCTTATGTTTTTAGTCTTTTAAATTTAAAGTAAATTTGTTTTTAGTCCTTTAAACTTAAAATTGATATTTTTAGTCCTATAATTTCAAAAAAATATTATTTTAATTCTTATACTCAAATTTTGTTAAGAAATTTATATAATATTGTGACATAAAATTTACTTACTAGTATCTTTATTAATGAAAATATCACATTAAACACAATTAATATTGTATAATTATTTCAATCTTTCATTTTTAGATGTTATTCGTGATCTGACAGATTAAAACGATATTTTTAAAAATTATAAGAATTAAAAATAATAGTTTAAATTTAAGAGACATAAATAAATTTATTCTAAATTTAAAAGACTAAAAACATATTTAAATCTTAATTCAATTTAAGTACGATGTCTTTATTATGTTGACTTGCTTCGGTGGCTAAAATTTCTTCTTTATGCATGAAATAAAAAGTTAATAAATTTAAAATTTTGTAAAATATGTAAGGCTAAAAAATGTTGAAGTTGGATATATTGGAAAACATCTTCCTTTCGTCTCCCCAGTGAAGACAATTTTTTAAAAAATGAGTCTTTACGAACAACGTAACATCTAAAAATTTGCATTTAGAAGACTTAAAAGTAACCAAATAATTTAGATCATGAGAAACGGAAATAATGGTTCGTTGAAATCATCTCTTGTCATCTACATAAATAATTAAACAACCATTTTTTTTTTTTGAAAAATGTTTTACAGACATTGTGCGGTTAATTTGGCACTGGACGTATTTTTTTTCTTCTTAACAAGCTAAGAAAATTTATAAAACTATGCTCTAACTGATTGTTTTGGTCCACAGAGAAACTTTTAAGACCTACATACTTTTTAATTAAATAAAAAATTTACCAATTGATTAATAGAGTAATTCCTCTTTGTGTTAACTCTCTTAATTTCAAATGTTCCTAAAAAGGTGTTTTTTTAGCCATGATGTTTGTAAAAAATAGGCTTCATAATAAAATGTAAGATGACTTTTTTATATATATACTCTGAATATGTATATTGGAAAGGATATTTCATAAACATTTACTATAAAAAAAAAATTATGAAAAAGTTTTATCAAATAAGAAAAAAGAATATGTTAATCTTGATTGTCGAAAGAAAATGCTCCTTGTATGTGTTTTTTTTTTTCGATAAAAGATTTATATTTTAATTTCAGGGATATATGATATTTTCTATTTCAAAGATTAAAT